CTCAAACTCTTCCAAAAAAATTACGGAGGAAGGAACACTCCCAAACTCATTCTATGAGGCCATCATCACCCTGATACAAAAACCAGACAAAGATACTACAAAAAAAACAAAACAAAACAAAACAAAAAACAAAAAACTACAGACCAATATCACTGATGAATATAGGTGTAAAAATCCTCAGCAAAATACTAGCAAACAGAATCCAACAACACATTCAAAGGACCATACACCATGATGAAGTGAGATTTATCCCAGGGATGCAAGGATTTTCAATATATGCAAATCAATCAATGTGATACACCATATTAACAAATTAAAGAAGAAAAACCATACGATCATCTCAATAGATACAGAAAAAGCTTTTGACAAAATTCAACACCCATTTATGATAAAAGCTCTCCAGAAATTGGGCATAGAGAGAACCTACCTCAACATAATAAAGGCCATATATGACAAACCCATAGCAAACATCATTCTCAATGGTGAAAAACTGAAAGCATTTCCTCTAAGATCAGGTACAAGACAAGGATGTCCACTCTCACCACTATTATTCAACATAGTATTGGAAGTCCTAGCCATGGCAATTGGAGTAGAAAAAGAAATAAAAGGAATACAAATTGGAAAAGAAGAAGTAAAACTGTCACTGTTTGCAGATGACATGATACTATACATAGAGAATTCTAAAGATGCCACCAGAAAACTATTAGAGTTAATCAATGAATTTGGTAAAGTTGCAGGATACAAAATTAATGGACAGAAATCTCTTGCATTCCTATACACTAACAATGAAAGATCAGAAAGAGAACTTAAGGAAACAATCCCATTCAGCATTGCAACAAAAAGAATAAAATATCTAGGAATAAACCTACCTCAGGAGGTAAAAGACCTGTGTTTAAAAAACTATAAGACACTGTTGAAAGAAATCAAAGATGACACAAACAGATGGAGAGATATACCATGTTCTTGGATTGGAAGAATCAACATTGTGAAAATGACTATATTACCCAAAGCAATCTACAGATTCAATGCAATCTTTATCAAATTACCAGTGGCATTTTTTACAGAACTAGAACAAAAAATCTTAAAATTTATATGGAGACAAAAAAGACCCCAAATAGCCAAAGCAGTCATGAGGGAAAAAAGCAGAGCTGGAGGAATCAGACTCCCTGACTTCAGACTATACTACAAAGCTACAGTAATCAAGACAATATGGTACTGGCACAAAAACAGAAATGTAGATCAATGGAACAGGATAGAAAGCCCAGAGACAAACCCATGCACTTATGGTCAACTAACATATGACAAAGGAGGAAGGATATACAATGGAGAAAAGACAGCCTCTTCAATAAGTGGTGCTGGGAAAACTGGACAGCTACATGTAAAAGAATGAAATTAGAACACTCCCTAACACCAGACACAAAAATAAACTCAAAATGGATTAGAGACCTAAATGTAAGATCGGACACTATAAAACTTTTAGAGGAAAACATAGGAAGAACACTCTTTGATATAAATCACAGCAAGATCTTTTTTGATCCACCTCCTAGAGTAATGGAAATAAAAGCAAAAATAAACAAATGGACCTACTGAAACTTAAAAGCTTTGGAAATGAAAGGAAACTACAAACAACATGAAAAGACAACCCTCTGAATGGGAGAAAATATTTTCAAATGAATCAATGGACAAAGGATTAATCTCCAAAATATATAAACAGCTCTTGCAGTTCAATATTAAAAAAACAAACAACCTAATCCAAAAATGGGCAGAAGACCTAAATAGACATTTCTACAAAGAAGACATACAAATGGTCAAGAAGCACATGAAAAGCTGCTCAACATCACTAATTATTAGAGAAATGCAAATGAAATCTACAATGAGGTATCACCTCACACCAGTTAGAATGGGCATTCAGAAAATCTACAAACAACGAATGCTGGAGAGGGTGTGGAGAAAGGGGAACACTCTTGCACTCTTGGTGGGAATGTAAATTGATACAGCCACTATGGAGGTTCCTTAAAAAACTAAAAATAGAATTACCATATGACCCAGCAATCCCACTACTGGGCATATACCCAGAGAAAGCCATAAATCAAAAGGACACATGCACCCCAATGTTCATTGCAGCACTATTTACAAGAGCCAGGACATGGAAGCAACCGAAATGCCCATTGATAGACGAATGGATAAAGATGTGGTACATATATACAATTGAATATTACTCAGCCATAAAAAGGAATGAAATTGGGTCATTTGTGGAGATGTGGATGCATCTAGAGACTGTCATACAGAGTGAAGTAAGTCAGAAAGAGAAAAACAAAATATTAACGCATATATGTGGATCCTAGAGAAATGGTACAGATGAACCAGTTTGCAGGGCAGAAATAGAGACACAGATGTAGAGAAGAAACGTATGAACACCAAGGGGGGAAAGTGGTGTTGGTGGTGGGATGAATTGGGAGGTTGGGATTGACGTGTATACACTAATATGTATAAAATAGATAACTAATAAGAGCCTGCTGTATAAAAATATGTGTATATATATATATTTATTTATTTATTTTGGCTGTGCTGCGCCTTAGCTGCAGCACGCGGGATCTTTAGTTGTGGCATGCATGTGGGATCTAGTTACCCAACCAGGGATCGAACCCATGCTCCCTGCATTGGGAGCGCAGTGTCTCACCCACTGGACCACCCGGGAAGTCCCCCAGAATGATTTTTATACACATTAAATCATATGTGTTCCTCTAAAAATAACACAACATGGTATATACTCTTTTGAAAAAGTAGGAGCATAACATATGCATTGCTTTGCACCTTGCTTTGCTGTCCCAGAAATTAGCAATCATGACATACCAACTCAGATCAATCTCAGCTGCTTCTCAGCTATACTGTAGCCATCACAGAACTGTATCAATAACACACTGACCAGTCTCCTATGGATGGATAACTAAGCTGTTTTTCATTCTTCTGTTATTAAAAAGAGCGAAAATAGGTATAAAAAACACCATTATTCATCCTCACACACATACAGGAATACATTTGAAGGATCAATTCTTACAAGTTACTAAATCATAGGAATCCTTGATACCTAATAGTGAGCTGCCACCTAATAGAGTTTTCTCAATTTACGAGCGTGAAAAAGGCTCGATTTAGAGCATTTATATTAGTGTTATTTTTATTTATTATTCATTTATTTATTTTTGTCTGCGTTGGGTCTTCATTGCTGCGTGCGGGTTTTCTCTCTAGTTGTGGAGAGCAAGGACTACTCTTCGTTGCGGTGAGTGGGCTTCTCATTGCAGTGGCTTCTCTTGTTGCAGAGCACGGGCTCTAGGCGCATGGGCTTCAGTAGTCGTGGCACCCGGGCTCAGTAGTTGTGGCTCATGGACTGTAGAGCACAGGCTCAGTAGTTGTGGTGCATGGGCTTAGTTGCTCCATGGCATGTGGGATCTTCCCGGCCAGGGATCGAACCCATGTCCCCTGCATTAGCAGGTGGATTCTTAACCACTGTGCCACCAGGGAAGTCCAGTGTCATTTTTTAAAGAATCTTTTGTTATGGTAATACTAAATAAAATATCCCTATTCATGCAACTCAGTGTTTGCTCACAAATATTAGGAGATAAACTAATTAGGACTGTTTTAGACCCTCTGGGTCCCTAAGCACCATATCATATAAAAACATACCCATGTACAGCTATATATATATATATATATTATTTATATATATATATATCTTGAGAGGAGTTGCAGTTGATATGTTTCTGCTTTTTGTTTTTTTTCGCGGTACGCGGGCCTCTCACCGCTGTGGTCCCTCCTGTTGCGGAGCACAGGCTCCGGACGCGCAGGCTCAGCGGCCATGGCTCACGGGCCTAGCCGCTCCGTGGCATGTGGCATCTTCCCGGACCAGGGCACGAACCCGTGTCCCCTGCATCGGCAGGCGGACTCTCAACCACTGCGCCACCAGGGAAGACCGATATGTTATTTTTTAACAGAAAATATTAATTAAATATACAGTAATATCTATTAGTGTCTTGGAGTCCATCCATTTTCCCCACAGGGCTAAAAATTTTGCTAGGTTTCTAAAAGTTTGCAGGTCCTTAGGCTCTGTTGTCCTAGTGCTTAATGGCTGTGTCCTGGTAGTTAATTTGAAAAGCCAGTTGCCTCAGTCGTGTAATTTTAAGAGCCGTTTATTCTGTATTCTCTTCTTTCTTAAATGGTTTAATAAATTTTCAGATATTTAGTTAACACTCTGCAGGAACAGAAGTATTCCTAACCCTAGTCCTAGAAAATAGTCACAATAGTAAATAGGTCAAGTCTGTATTGTTTAGGGAACAAGGAGATTTTTGTTGTCTGTTTTAAAGGAGTGCTCCTTGTGAGAGTAGGGCTCTGGATACAGGTGAATAAATTGTGACACGGGACTGCTTCCTTTTTCCTACGGGGATGTTGCTGTCAACTGCGTAACAATGAAGGCATTTTGTGTAAGGATTTGAGGCTCCAATAAGTTTTTCAAAGACACACATACTATATATATATATTTTTTCATCAGGGAGAGTCTCTCTGGGTACTTCAAAAGAAGATAATGATGCTTGAAAAAAGTCGTTTGAATAGCTCTTAGGAAGCTGCTGGAATCCTGCTTAGAGATCCTTATCACAGTAGCTCTACTATTACCTAAGAAAAATATGACCCTCACTCCTGTTTCAATCAACATAATTACTGGGTCATTACAGAATTCAGCGTTGTTTCAAAGGCAGGCTGCCCTCAGTTTATGAGAATCCCAGCTGCACATTTGGCAGCTTGGGCTACCGTTTTCGTCACCGATCTCCACTTTGTCGCTTCGTCCGTCAGAGCCGCCCTCAGGACAAAGGGTGGTTGGTGGAGGTGGGAGGGGTTGGGGCAAGGGCTACGGTAAGAGGAGGATATTTGCGTGGCCTGTTTACAGGTTACTCGGTTTCAGTGTCAAGGCAGTTTATTTGCACATCTCTGGCGAACCTCCGGTCTGAGGTCACACAGACGCCTGGGTGGCTCACAGGAGCCAGCAATGAAGCTTCCCTTGGGCCGGGACTCAGGAATTTCACCAGCAGGGACCAACCAAGGGGCCCAGGGACCCCGGCTTCACTCCAAGTCCTGTGCCAGACGGTTGGCGGCGACGCTCCGGGCGACGCCTCCGCTGCCGGCCAATGAGGAGCAGGGACCGCGTAGGGGCCTGCGCTCATTGGGTCGCGGTGGTTCCGCCCCGAGGTGAAGCAAAGCTCCCGGCCCGCTAATAGAGTCTCAGCTACAGTCCGGCTTTTGTGCGCTCGCCGCTGGTCACCCTGCTGGGCATACCTTTACCTCTCTTTCGCCTAATTCTTCGGTGTCTTTTTCAAGCCCCGACTCACCAGTTTCACAGTTTTATCTTCCTTGCCCTTTAACTCTCACCTTCCTTCGCAGATCAGCATGCAGGAAAAAGACGCCTCCCCACACGGTTTCCTGCCTAGGTTCCAACATTTCGCTACGCAGGCCATCCACGTGGGCCAGGAACCAGAGCAATGGACTTCCCACGCTGTAGTGCCTCCCATCTCACTGTCCACCACGTTCAAGCAAGGGGCTCCTGGCCGGCACTTGGTGAGCTGGGTCTGTCTGGGGCGGTCCAGTGTTGGGCGGTAAAAGAGAGATGGCTTATAAATTAAGAAGGCACACAAGTAATTTGTGAGGTTTAATTTGTGTATATCAGGAATGATGTTTACTACACCTGTAAACCTCCTTGTAATAAAGCTTTGTATTGAATGGTTCAATGATCATATTTCTTTTGATAAGCATTTCTTTTGATAAGCAGGACTGGAAGGAACAGTTTGTCCAACATGCCCTATAGATTTGGACTGATATTCATGTGATTTTGGCAAATTTGCAGTTCAAAACTGAGTGTCATAACTTCCTTAAGTTACCTTTAGCAACAAAAATTGTAAAGATATAGTAAGGAGTCAACTAAGAAAAAAATTAAGAGTCTCATAACTCACCTGGAATCAAGATTATTCCCAGTAGCTATTAACTCCCAATATTATTCCAGTAGTTATTAATAGCCATTGAGCCAGATTCATAGTTACATTCTATCATGTGTATTACATATATTGCCTCAGATAATCCTTACAGCAATTCTAGTATGAACTAGGTTCTTATTTCCCTCATGAAAAACCTGAGGTTTGGGGATAAGTATCAATGCAAAGTCCACCTGGCTAGTAAGCAGCAGAGCCGGGATTCCAATGCAGTACTGCTCTGGAACCCCACCCACTCTTGGGCATTAGTCTATCCTGTGCTATACTACAGTAATGCTAGCAATAGTCTAACCCATTGCATCATTGTGGTTTAGTAATTAAGAGCTTAAATCATGTAGTCAGAGGACCTAGGTTTGAATTCTGACAACACCTCTTTTTAGCCAGTTGGTCTTGAGCAAGTTACTTGACTTATCTTAAGCCTCAGGTTGATCCTGTGTAAATGGGTTAATAATAGTACCTACCACATAAGTTGTTGATATGTATGTTAAGCTGCATTGTACATTATAACTGCTCAGTAGTTTGCTATTTCATGGTGTTCATATTTGCACTTTTTCTGTTTGATCTGGACAACAACCAGGTTAGAGAGCAAGACAGATATTATGTACTTTTTATAGAAAAGGAACCTACCCAGAGTCATAGATGAGATAGGCCTCTGTGTTCATTACATAGCTTTTCCTTTTATGGTAGCATACTTGATGGATCTTGGAGTATTTAAAAGTTGCTGAGGTCCAGAAGAAATTACAGTTGACCCTTGAACAACAGGGGTTTGAACTGTGCAGGTCCACTTATATGTTGATTTTTTTCAATAGTAAATACTACAGTGCTGAATAATCTGCAGTTGGTTGAATCTGGGGACATAAACCACAGATATGGAGGAACCTCGGATATGGAGGGCTGACTATAAGTTGTACATGGATTTTCCACTGAGCAGGGGGTCGGTGCCCTAACCCGGCAGTTGTTCAAGTGTCAACTGTAATTGAATACACTTTGTAGATCCAAAACCTTGATTATACTTCAAACACCTCTTTAGTGTGTTATGTTATATAAGTTGAGGAAAATTCTTTTAGACGTGGCCCTTTGTTTTGTGAAGTAGAGTTCTAAGGGCATTTCTACAACTGGTTTAGGATACTTCTAGCTACTATATTTTGTAATCAAATTGTGTACACAACCTGTCTTCCAAGTTTCTTCCTCGTGTAGGGCTTTGTGAATGTGTAGCTGCCCAAGCTTTAGCATTTAGTACAAAAGTTAATAATTTAGCTGTGATATTAACAATTAAATGTTTTCAGAGAGGCAGCAGGGGTGGTAAAATCCACAAACTCCTCTTAATATCTTTAAAATGTCAGTTGAGAGCACTAAAGAGAATTTGAGGAGCTGAATGAGAAGCATCTAACTCTCCACTTCCATCTGGAAAGTCATTGAATGAATGAGCGTGAGAATTGGCACTGAAATATGCTTCTCCCCCCACCCCCCTCCCCAACCACAAAGTTAAATCTCTGCAGTGAATATTTAGGGAGACATGGACTACCTTTCCATGGCAATAGCCACATGAATCTAAACTTTTTTTTCTGTCTGGAGTACAGCTGCAGGTCACATCAAGGAGGTGATGGTGGCCAGTAATGAGGATATCCTGGAGCCCTATAAAATGTCTACTCAGTTTGTCAAAAACAAGGAGACAAAAAAGGCAACAAAACTTAAATATCTATATCTATAGCCACATCTATATCTATCTCTAATACTGGGAGCTCCTGAATCAGAAACAGGTGTAAAGAGTGGTTGTGTTTTGTTATGTGCCATGTGGGGCAGGAGGAGAAAAGTATGTATAGGATTTTTAGTGAGTGTTTAAGTCCTGGCTTTGAATTCTGGCACTGACATTCCCTGTAACATTTGGCTTTACATTCTTTAGAGCAGATTGTGAGGATTAAATAAAATGACTGGATACAGACAGAGACTGACAAATACTGTATGATATCACTTATATGTGGAATGTAAGAAATAAAAGTAACTAGTGAATATAACAACAACAACAAAAAAACAGACTCACAGATACAGAGAACAAACTAGTGGTTACTAGTGGGGAGAGGGAAGCGGGGAGGGAGGTTAAGGTAGGGGATTAAGAGGTACAAACTACTATATGAAATAAATAAGCTACAAGAATATATAGTACGGCACAGGGAATATAGCCAATATTTTATAATGACTACAAATGGAATATAACCTCTAAAAATTGTGAATCATTATGCTGTACACATGAAACTTATGTAATATTGTACATCAACTATACCTCAATAAAACTAAATAAATCAAATAAAATGACTGGATGAATTCAGGTAGTATAGTGTCATACATGTAAAAGGAATATAATGCAAAATTTAAAAAGGGGTTGTATAGAGCTGTTTTGCCGAGAATTACTCTCTTTTTTGAGTTGCTTTTGTAGAGCAAAGATCTGAACTTCGAGCATTTGTAAGATCTGTTCATAGCTTCCTGTTAGATGCTAAACAGAGCTCACAACACTTATTTTTTAGGAAATGAAGTGCAGGTTAGAAATAGGTTTACTCTGTTGGTTCAGGTGGTTCCTGTTTCCTAATATCCCTAGATTAATGGGTAGAGGTGACTGTAACATAAAAACCACCATTTATCTAGTGGTTAGCACATGCCAGGCATCATGCAGAGAACTTATCTCATTTTATCTTCACATCAATTTTATGAAGTAGATATCTGTATTTTATTCCCATTTTAAAGGTATGGAGATTGACTCTGGGAAATATTAAGTAACTAACCTATGGGCATGTAGCTCGTAAGTGGCAGACACAGAATTCTTACCCAGTTTGGCTGACTTCAGGATCTCTCCATACCACTACGGCCACAACAGTGATGCTTCTGTCTAATGGCAAGACATGTAATAGATAAATAACAGAAAGACATGGCAGGATGGACCTGTAGTTGAGGAAATGTCTATGTTAAGACCCTGATAATAAATTTAAATCTCTTAGGATGAACTCTAACTTCTTTCCTTCAGGGTTTTGAGTACAGCCGTTCTGGAAATCCCACCAGGAATTGCTTGGAAAAAGCAGTGGCAGCACTGGATGGGGCTAAGTACAGTAAGTGATTTTCATTTCAAAGTTTGTAAAATCTAGAATCCATTCTTATTTGTATAGAAAAAATTACAGAGGTACAGAATGTAGAATTGGAAAGAAATAAGGATTAGCTAGTTCAAAACTCTTATTTTTTTATGACATTGAATTATTTGCTTGAGGTCCCACAGCTGACTTCATATGTATATGTGTAATTATAAGGTGAAAATAAATATGAAGAGAGGCAAAATGGCAGAATTTGCCACTTAGAATTCATGTAAACGTACTCTTCGTCTGAAGCTGTCAGTATAAATAGATACAAATTAACTAAGTTTTATAATACCACCTATGAGAATATAAGCTTTCTTATACTCTGGTTCATTCACCTGCTATTTTGTGCCTGAGAGTAGCACCAAGGAACATTTGCAATAGCCAGGTACCCTTGATACTGTGCTTTGGGAGATTAGGGATTAACGCCTCAAAACTTGAATTTCTTCCGTGAAGGGAGTGGACGGCTGTTAAATCATCTTTGTACTTTCTATACAAATGATACTAAATGAGGGCAGAATCGTGAATTTAAAAAAGGAGAGTCTTAGGAGTTTTCTCACAGCAAGAGTGTAGGAATCAGAAATGTTAATATGAGCTTTGGTGTTTGTTTGGGATTGGGGGAGTTTCTTTTATTTGGGGTGAGAGGGGGAGTTTTTTAAACACTAAATTTCTTAAATTTAGTAATGTGTGGGGAATATTATTTCCCACAGAAATTATAAAGGCTGAGGGTTCATATGCCAGACACTTTTTTCAGGTGGGCTCCAGAAAACACGGTTGTTTTGAATGGGATTTAAAGGTTAGCTTTCTGTATGAATTCATTGTTGGACCACAGATCTGCTTAGTAGAGAACTGCAATGTCAACCTCAACTTTTCTGAAAAAACTTTGCAAAAATTACATTTTCCAAGTTAATTGGATATCCCATCTACTGGTCACAAGTGATTTTTATCATCAAGGTGATACACTGATATTTTATCAGGATATTTTTCTTTACAGTGTTTAATGTGTACAATGCCAGTTATTTTTTATTATTCATTTTCACTATTTTTGTTCAATATGAGATTCAGGATCACATGTGTTTAAAGAGAATCCACATTAAAAAATTAAAAAAATAAAATTTATTAAATTTATCAGGTCTGATTGTGAGTTTTGTTAAAATATTTTCTCAACTGCATATCCATATAGTTAATGGATGAATCATATCTTAGCTCTATTCCTCAAGTTTGAAATTTCTTTAGAGTTTGATACTTTTAAAGTGTAATTTAATTGGCAATTGGTCTTTTGTCTCCGAATTTTGTAAAGAATTATTTCTTTGAAGCTTTTCAGAGAAATGTTATAACCAGAGCAGAATTAAGTATTTTTATTTTAAAGATATTTTATTTTTGAAATAGAAAGGGGGATTTTATAATGGTATTAATCAGGGGATTTCTGGTGACTCAGTAGTGACGGTTGTCTTTCAGTCAGCAGAGAGAGGGATATAAAGTAATGCAACTAAATACTGTAGGTGTTTTTAACCTATAGTTCTGACATTTTGGCTTACTCTAACTTGGTTTTTACCTTAGGTTTGGCCTTTGCTTCAGGTTTAGCAGCCACTGTGACTGTTACCCATCTCTTAAAAGCAGGAGACCAAATTATTTGTATGGATGATGTGTATGGAGGTAGGTGACCTCTCTCATTCATGTTGTTTCAGCTGATATTTGAAAGACAATAAAATGGGTCCTGAATTATATTAACAGTGCTACCAGGATTATTGACTATTGATTACCTTTTCAAAATATGATGAACAACTCTATGCTGGTTCACACTTGATAAAGGAGGAGCATAAACACTTAGGGTCTATGCTCCAGAACTTGCTTATAAGAGAGGTTGCTTAATAATAATTTTATTTAAGCAGCTGGAATGAGCTTATCCCAGATATATTCTACTCTAGAGAAGATAGTGTTTAAAGAGAGAGTGTTCTAGTGTAATTAAAAATGTTTACCTCCAGTGAAGATGGTCTATAACCCAAGTCATTCTCAAAGGGCTTAACTCTACCCAACCCTTAACCACCCCACCCCCTGCGTTTTTTTTTTTAGGGAAGCTTCTGAAAAGCTGTTGAAAGCTATAGACCTCTTTCCAAAAAATGCACTTAAGACTATACCCAACGTTTATCATTTTAATTTTAAAATGATAAGGCTCCTCTCCAAGGACCCTTACCCCTTGAAACCTATCCATGGATACAAATTTAAGAACTTTCATTCCAAATTGTTTAAATGCTAGTTATATAAAGTGGTAAGTGGGAAGGTAAGGAAGACAAGTTGCCCTTACCTTTAAGTAAGACTGATTTTTGTGTTCAAAACAACAGCAAAAAATTTTGTAAGTATATTATACATATATACCAAATGTTTCCAAATAATTAAAATGTGATTTATGGAATATTATTATCATTTTATATATCTCCTATTTGAACAAAAAGTTAAATCTGTAAGTTCTTTGAAGGAAGAGACTTACTCTTAGTAATCATTTTATCCCTCTCAGAAATTTGCAAAATGCTTTATATTTTATCATAGTACCCTATGATAGTCTGATGAATTGAAATTATAGAAAAATCAAATTTTTCGTTACTATTATAATGTATTATAAAAACCTTTTGGTAAACATAGGTACAAAATCTTGAAAATTGCTGTTGATTTTTTAACAATTCTTTACATTCTTTTTCTATCTTATATTACCTAGGATCAGTCTACCAAAAGTCCAGTATATCTTTTTTAAAAAAATAAATGTATTTATTTATTTATTGGCTGCATTGGGTCTTCGTTGCTGCCTGTGGGCTTTCTCTAGTTGAGGAGAGCAGGGGCTATTCTCTGTTGCTGTGCGTGGGCTTCTCACTGCCGTGGCTTCTTGTTGCAGAGCACGGGCTCTAGGTGCACAGGCTTCAGTAGTTGAAGCACGCAGGCTCTAGAGCACAGGCTCAGTAGTTGCAGCGCATGGGCTTAGTTTCTCCACAGCATGTGGGATCTTCCCGGACCAGGAATCAAACCCTTGTCCCCTGCATTGGCAGGCAGATTCTTAACCATTGCACCACCAGGGAAGTCCCTCCAGTATATCTTTTTTTTTTTTTTTTGCGGTACGCAGGCCTCTCATTGTTGTGGCCTCTTCCGTTGCGGAGCACAGGCTCCGAACCCGCAGGCCCAGCAGCCATGGCTCACGGACCCAGCCGCTCTGCGGCATGTGGTATCCTCCCAGACTGGGGCATGAACCCGTGTCCCCTGCATCAGCAGGCGGACTCTCAACCACTGCACCACCAGGGAAGTCCCTCCAGTATATCTTTGATGATAATTTTTTTTTTCTTTTTTGGTTCACTATCAATAACAGCAAATTTTTCTTTAAATTTGCATATATATACATCAAATCCAGAACCGTATTTTTAAAAGAAGCCATTCTAAGTTGAATGATTTATCTTCTTTCACTGTAAAACTCTAGTAGTTTGATTTACATTGTCTCATTTGTCTACTAAAGCTTTCAGAACCGCATAACAAAAAGATTGAGAAAGAACAAAGGATAAAAACCAATTCTTTTCTCTTACCAAAGTATAATCAGTTTGAAATTTTATTTTGAATATTTCATTGGCATTGATTCATTTATTTTATTTTTTTAAATTTTATTTATTTATTTATTTATTTAGTGGCGCTGGGTCTTAGTTGTGGCATGTGGGATCTAGTTCTTTGACCAGTGATCGAACCTGGGCCTCCTGTATTAGGAGCCTGGGGTCTTAACCACTGGACCACCAGGGAAGTCCCAGTTCATTTATTTTAGATTTGAGTAGTAGGAAGGAATTGTTTTAAAAAGATATTGATATTTCAGGAAGCATGCCACTTCATGTTTGAAGAGTAGAGATTGTGTATTTTAAGAAACATTTTCTGCTTCACACAACTTGGTGTGGGTATCAAGTGTATTTTATTTGACTCTGATTTTTAGTTTAAAATTTAAGCCTTATATTCTTTAGTATATGAGAAGGTCAAACTATTCAAACAAAGTAGAATTGCTTTTAGTTGTTTCTTTATTGGTGATTGACACTTCCTTATATTTTTTAAGTGTTTATACTTTTAAGGAATTAATATTTCCTAATACAGTTTTCTTTTCATTTTATCTGATTCTCTTCTGCCTCAGGTACAAACAGGTACTTCAGGCAGGTGGCAACTGAATTTGGATTAAAGATTTCTTTTGTTGATTGTTCAAAAACCAAATTGTTAGAGGCAGCTATTACTCCAGAAACCAAGGTAACTCAGTTTTCAGTTTGTTTATTTTCCTTGTGATGTTTTGTTTTCATCATTCCTGTTTGCTTGAGGAAATAATTTAAATCTGAATAACAAATTTTACTGGAAGCCATTGGAAACCATCAAGATGAGGATAGGTCTGACTTCTGTGTAGTATAGCATAATGGTTAGGTGTGTGCATTCTGTAGTGGGATTCAAATTCTAATTCTGTATCATGGTTGGTGTATTATCATGGGCAAATTATTTAACCAAAGTCTCATTTTTTTTCATTTGCAAAATGGGGACAATTGTACCTGCCTTATTGAAAGGTGATTGTGTGAACTAAATGAGATAAGGCGTATGAAATGCTTATTACAGTACCCAATACATGATGACTGTTAAAAAATTTGTTAGCAAAAGCAGACAATTCTTAACTGCATTACCAAGCTAGTCTTGGTAACAAAAGTCACCACAGAGTTTGGGTTACAGAAAAGGAAGCTTGTAAGGAAGCCCCCAAACCCTAAGCATAGTTTTAAGGGTTCTAAGGGATACTTCAGCAAAATGATAGAAACAGAGAATGAGCCACAAGCAGTCTTTAGCTTCCATCCTGGGAAGCTTGTATGCCACCGGAAGGTGTTTTGTGCTGGAATGAATGGCATATGTGATATTCTTTCTTGGGACTTCATTGAAATTCTGCATGGGGAAAAGAAGGACCAGTGCCTTTTATAAGTATCAGCCTTTCCCAACTTTTTGCTAATGATTAAAAGGTTTGAATTGTACTCAAGATTATGTTGCAGTGAATGCTAAAAAATGAAAAACTTTTCTCACACAAGTTACTTTGAAGATTAACACCAGGGTGAGCTTTGAGTGATTAAGGCTTCTTTTTAAAGGAACTTGTTTTTTTTTTTGTTGTTGTTTTTTGTTTGTTTTCTTGCTTGGGAGAAAAGATTCTTATTAAAATAGATGGTCTGAGTCTTTCTAAGGGAGGAAAGCATATTGTGTGTATATTAATTCTTGTCAATAGAACTTTATATAGTGCCTCTTTACCAACTTGAATTAATACATTTTTTCCCCCTGAAATGTCTGCCTCATCATTTGAAGTAGATTTTTTAAGTCTACGTAAAATCTACTTTGTATTTATTTACTTATTTTTATTTTAATTAATTTTTATTATGAATGAGAATAATAAATTCTTACCCAGAAATAAATTTTTATATGTTCTTAAATAATTCTGTTCTTGTAGAATATGCATTATTTTAACTACCATGTCTTTTCTACAGTAAAACTCTAGAGTAGGAAGAGAGTTAAACCAGACCACTTGTCCATTTACATAGAAAAAATAACCATTAATCCTTTTAAAAAGAAAGCTGTGGATAATGTCAATCAATACAGTGGCAGCTTGTTTAACAAACAGAATTCTTTTCTTTGGTCTTTTCTATAACTATCAAACATCAATGATGTGCCTGGATTGTGCTTGGTTTTTGAATAGACAGATAAATATGATACTGTCTCTTAAGTGAGCTGTGGCCAGGTTTTCTGTTGTGTGTGTCACTTTTCTTCCTCACTCTAAAACCCATTCTCTTCTTCAAGTTCTGGGGACTTATTTTGTAGGTTCTAGTGCATCTGGCGTTAAGTTACTATTCAGGATATTTTTGGCATCATAGAGATAGTTCTCTTTACTGAAAATTCCAGAATGTAAACTTAGACAACCTATGTTATTTATCTTTGAGAACAAAATTCCCAGACATTGAACTATCTCTTTGGAATTCATCCTCTTTTTAATGGAAAATAATTACAATAATTAACTTGAATGCTTTTCTGCTTATATGTACACTATCTCATTTGATCCTTACAACAACTGTATAAGGTAAATATTATCAATCCTATTGTATAGATAAAAAATTGGAAGAACGTAGAGGGTTAGTTACTTACCTATGATGACTTCTTAGAAATTCATGGGGCTGGGATTCAGATTCAAACCTTTAAACTTCATCATCTATGGTCTTCCAATGTAGCCTCCCAGATGGTTACAGTATATGAGATAGATGTTTGGCAGTGTGTTTTTACAAACTATTGTCATTTACTGAATTGTTTTAGCTTGTTTGGATTGAAACTCCCACAAACCCTATCTTGAAGATGATTGACATTGAAGCCTGTGCACATACTGTCCATAAACATGGAGACATTATTTTGGTCGTGGATAACACTTTTATGTCGGCATATTTCCAGGTAAATGATTAGTAGACTACACAGGTACCTGTAATTAGGAGAGGAAGGACTTGTTTACATTAAATTACATGAAATCTGCTTATAATTATTGATTAGACAAAGAATTAAAATTGGATCTTTCCTACCATTAGTTAATATCTTTTCAACACTACGTTAATATGTTGTGTGGGACTTTGTGTGTTTTAAATGTTGTCTTAATTAAAGCTTTTAAGTTCTCTGTGTAAAGTCTCTGAAGACCTGGCCGTATTATATGATTGTATATGTCAGTGCCTTACACATAGTAGGGGTTTCAATGTTTATGTTTTGGTTCCAGGTCAGTTATATTATTTTATATATATTTAAACCTGGCTAACTTTTCAAATAAAAGGAAGAGAAAAGCTATACTCAATGACATCTCAGTGTACATCACACATTATTTCTCCATTTGTCTTCCCTCTTTCTAGTTTGTCTTCCCTCAGTGCTTCAAAGACCATGCCCTGCCCTCTATATCTTTACCTTATTTGTATCATGAATTTCTACTCCATGTTTCACCTTGTATCTGTGAGTACAGCTCCTTTACAGTGCTCCTTTTAGACTCTCTCTTTTCCTGCCTGTCCTCTACATACATCTCTTCCCCACTCAAACCCTCCCATTCATCTGCAATTCCTTTCTTTCTTTTCTTGTACATTTTTCCAGATTCTTCTTTTCTGCTTTGCTCCTTTTGGTAGATCATCTTGGGATCTCTCTATAATTGACTGGTTGTCTGCCTTTTCCCCACACGTTCTCCTTTTGTTTCCTCTGAGTAACCTAACTCTGTTTCCTTTCTTTATTAGGAGTTACCATCTCCCTGCTATTTCCTTTTTGTCTGTATCCTGTGGTCATTCTTATTACACCTCCTGTAGTTCACCTTTATTCTGCAGAGCTCCTGAAACCCGAGCTCATTTTCTCCAACTCTTCAATTAGGCATATGTTTACAAGCTCAATTGTTTATATTCCCTGCTTCTGTTCTGGGTCCCTGAAGTTGGCTGACTCCCTAAGAGTCTGCACAAAGCTGTTCTTCACCTTACTCCATTTTATTCGGAAGGCACTACCATGTTTTACCTTCCTTTCCTGAAACACATTTCCTGGCTACAATGTGTTCAGATGGCTTCATGTGTCATCTACCTTTGGCTCATGATATAGCTTCAGCTGATTCTTTTTTTTTTTTTTTTTGCTATGCGGGCCTCTCACTGTTGTGGCCTCTCCCGTCACGGAGCACAGGCTCCGGACGCGCAGGCTCAGCGGCCATGGCTCACGGGCCCAGCCGCTCCATGACATGTGGGATCTTCCCGGACCGGGGCACGAACCCGTGTCCCCTGCATCAGCAGGCGGACTCTCAACCACTGCGCCACCAGGGAAGCCCCAGCTGATTCTTATATCAAGTAAGGCAGTCTGTTTCCAAGTGAAAATCTCCTGGCATCATCTATTTGTCCCAGGTGATTTTCACTCTTGGAGTCTTTATCCCAACTCCTTACCCCATCTACCACTTACAGTAGGGCAGTTATTATAGCATAGGATTGCTCTAGCTGAGTCATCATGAGTCCTGTATATTCCCAAAGAGATCGCATGAATCATTTTAGCTGGGCCTGCCCAGGTTACTCATCAGGCCTGGCCCTTTTTCTCCTATTGTTGTCACTAAAATAGGTCCAGTTTTTCCACCTTTCTGAAGCCCACATCACATTCCTCATGCCAGGGACTGCAATTTGCTTCATTTCAGTCTGGATTCATTCCAGTTGAATTAATCAGAATCACAGTGTCCCTAGGCAACCACAAACCAAATGTGGAACCACATTTGGTTCCACAAAGCAAATCTTCTGAAAAGATCCTCTCATTATTTTACACTCATGAAAAGTGGGTATGTTCTGTCTTTCCTGTCTTTTGTCTTCTTGATCTTTTATAAGTCTCATAAAGTTTCCACGTAGAACCTCTGAATTCTGGTAGTCTGAGTCCTGTCTCTACCAGTTTTTTAAATCTGAGTGATCTATTTTATTTTTCTTAGTCCCTTTTCCCCATCTGTACAATTAGTCATAAACATACTGATTTTATTGAGTTAGGTAAAGTATTTTGAACAATGCTTCACTGGGTTATGTAAAGTGCTTCACTGGGTTATGTAAAGTAACTCATGATTCTTGGAGCATAATGGCATCAACAGTTGTTAGTTATTGGTTTTTATTTTTCCTTTTGACCATAGAGTTTACAGAATGTTAGCACTGGAAGAGACCTCACACAACATCTAGTTTGACTCATCACTTTAGAGATGAGCAAACACATATGTAGAGAGTGCTTTGAGGAATACCACACTTAAAATGTCCTATTTTTGAAACCCTAAATGAAAAGTCCCATAGCCCCCAGCTAGGGAGGTTAAACACACACACACACACACATGCGTGCGCGTGCATGCGCACGCACACACACACACACACACACACACTTTATTTTAAAGGAAATTTAAATGGAAAGATGTTGATATTACATTATTTAGTGAATAAGTTGATTATTAGTTTAATTTTCACCGTAAACAAAGACATCTAAGACTAAAGAATTACTTTGCAGGAAAGTTCAGTGAGGGAAAACAATCTAAACAAATTTCCTTATAAGTGATTTTACACTTGACAAAACTAGTATAATAAAAGAGTAATTAAGAGTCAAGATCATGGCAAATCAATAAATAACCACAGCATACATTATAAGGTTTTAATGATTAAAAACCTAAGCAAATCACTTTTATACTTATTTGACAGAACAATTGCTAAATGTTTGTGTCAACTATTCCGTGTTTACTGAGTCATAAAATGCCAACATCTCTGCTAAAGGTAATAAATTTAGGGGCTAGTCAGCAACTGCTCTAAAGAAACAAGTTCAGAAGACCTGTTGACCTGAGTTTATCTGCTATTTCCAGAAAATTTGTGCCTTTGGATTTAATACTGGTTCTAATACTTTGTATTTTTATTTGGTGTGAGGGAGGAAAGGGAAAGATAATACCAGAGCTCCTGGAAATTTTAAGATGTGCGTATTTTTAAAAGTTAGAATAGGAATGGAATTTACAATAATAAATAGGCAGGCAATGAAGCATACTTTCAAGTGATTTCCCATTTGGAATAAAAACCTTTTATTCTTTTCAGCGGCCTTTGGCTCTGGGAGCTGATATTTGTATGTATTCAGCAACAAAATATATGAATGGTAAGACAGTCTTCACTTAGAACGTTCTTTTCCATCAATAGATGAAAGTAGCATAAGACTTTATCCTTTTATCCCTTTACTTCTATTATTCAGGTTTTCTCTGTGACTCATGTAGAAAGTAAGAAAATACTTTGATTAAATATAGGACTTCATTTATAGCAGACAAAACTATGCTCATGATTTAACAGCAGAGGATTAAAATGTACTATAAATGTTACATTTTTATCCTGATGATAGCTTAAAAAGAAATATTTAATTTTTACATGATTTTAATTTTATTGTTTAAGGTATAGCTTTTGCTAAAGTTTATTTAAACTGATTCTATAGGGATTTTTCCCAGAGTTTTTTCAAGTGAAAGTCACATTTTAGAAATTATAAGCTGAGGAATAAACATATGTTGTTTTTAACTTAAAGTTTTTTGTTTTTGTTTTGTTTTTTTTAGGCCACAGTGATGTTGTGATGGGCTTAGTGTCACTTAATTCTGAGAGGCTTCATGATAGGCTCCGATTCTTGCAAAATTGTAAGTATTAAAAAACCCAAATTTCCCCTTATACTCTCAAAGTGACTACATTTGATATTTGTATTTCCACTAAGTGCTGTGAAGTGATAGCATTCCACTAATTTAGGAAGAAATGAGAAATAGTGGGAAAAATTCTGATTTTTTAGAGGAAAGAGAAATTGGGTTATAAAAATACAGTTATAACATAATAGGGCTTTACAACATGACCAAGAGATACGTTTTGTTATTTTTCAAAGCCATGTTAATTTTGATCATAATTTGGTATAGCTCAAGTAAATTTTTGTTTTTTTCTGTCCCACCGAGCATCACGTAGGATCTTAGTTCCCCGACCAGGGATCAAACCCGCGCCCCTTGCATTGGAAGCGTGGAGTCTTAACCACTGGACCACCAAGGAAGTCCCTCAAGTGAATTTTTAGTTTTATGACTTAATGGATTCTTTTGTCTTTTTTTTTAAACATTTGGAATGATGGCTTTCTTATACTATACCTTTTGTATCTGAAATGATGATAACTTTTAAATGGCACTTAACATATAAACTTATATTTTTCAACAGGTGTCTAAACGTCTGTTTTCTGTTTAGATTGTTTTCTTATCTCAGGTATGGAGAAGGGTTTATTGAAAGAGACTTGATTTAACCACTGTGATTTGACGGAAAGATAAGATACAAACATAATTAGGAATAAAAATCCCCTTCCAGGGAATACATGTTGGGTAGCAAAAGGGGGCACTGAGGAAGGAAACCAAAATTTATTGCTTGATAAATTCCTTTCATTTACAAAAAAAAAAAAAAAAAAGGATTGAGGCACGTATCCTGGAGGCATGGGAAATCACAGGCTGCTTTAGACAAAAGCTAAATAGAATATTGGTAGAACACTCAGAAATAATAGGAGCTGAACTGCTATTTTCTCTGTGTATTATAATACTCTGTCAAAGAAATACAAGATTAAACTATGTCCTTTCATTAAAATCATAGAAAAGACTATTGATGCTCATATTTGAAAAGTTCATATCATTGTATTTGTACTTAATTTTCAGGATAATTCATTTTCCCTCTCATTTTTTTAAAAATAAATTTATTGATTTATTTTTGGCTGCGTGGGTCTTAGTTGCTGTGCGTGGGCTTTCTCTAGTTGCGGTGAGCAGGGGCTACTCTTTGTAGCGGTGCGTGGACTTCTAATTGAAGTGGCTTCTCTTGTTGCAGAGCATGGGTTCTAGGCACGTGGGCTTCAGTAGTTGTGGCACTCCAGATCAGTAGCTGTGGCTCACGGGCTTAGTTGCCCCACGGCATGTGGGATCTTCCCAGACCAGGGCTCGAACCCGTGTCCTCTGCATTGGCAGGTGGATTCTTAACCACTGTGCCACCAGGGAAGCCCTCCCCTCTCATTTTAAAGCCCATTTCACTAAGCATGTTTTATGCTTCATTCTCATGTTTCTAATTTGATATATTAATTTTTCCCACTAAAACTCAAACATTGGGCTTTGTAGCTAACTTCTCAGAGTCACTATAATGAAAAAGAGCAGTGAGAGGATTTTCTGGGCGCCTCCTCACCTTCAGACTAATCCAGGACACGTTCATTTTGCAGCTCTTGGAGCAGTTCCATCTCCTATTGACTGTTACCTCTGCAATCGAGGTCTGAAGACTCTACAAATCCGCATGGAGAAGCATTTCGAAAATGGAATGGCAGTTGCTCAGTTTTTGGAGTCTAATCCTTGGGTAGAAAAGGTTATTTATCCCGGTATGTTAATCTGCTTTCTAAGCACATATGCTTACACTAGGATTTTAAGTGTTATCCTATGCATCCTGTTTATGTAACATTTGTTTGTAAGTTAGGTGCTTTCATGTATTTTTATGTTGTTCACTTATTGAGCTTTTTGTGTGTCTGTGTGTCAGGCTTTTTGGTGGGTCTGATGGTAAAGAAGATGGACATGATCTCTGGCCTAGAGTTGTTTATAGTCTAGTGGTTGCTTGGATGTTAAAAAATTAATCTTACATATTTGATGTTCCTGTCTTTAGCTTGAAGGTTTGTGTATACCTGTTCCAGGATTGCAACCTTATACTTTCCAGTAATTTGCTGGTAATCTTATCAGTCTGATATTCTGCATTAGCTCTAACTTTTATCTGATATAGATTGAGACTTGATACTTGGTACCAAAACTCCCCCGAAATTCTATTACATTTTTTTGGAATTTCTTCACCTTTATAACATCTAGAAATGCTCATGTGAGTTAGCAGACTTACATGTTACTCTTTGAATTTATTTTACCAGACTTTTTAATTGTGGTCTGGTCGTCTTAAGTAAATAATTCTTTTAAATCCTTTTGAGGTGTGCATCCATGTAGTCTTGGGTGTAAAGGAGAATTAGGCTTGATCCCTGCCCTTAAGGAATTTAGATAAGGCAAGGCAGAAATACATATGAGATTAAATGCCCTAATATGTACACTAGGTATAGAGCTGTTGACTGGTGTGCATTTTGAATGGAGGACGGGAGAAAAGTTTTGGGCTATGCCCTGAGGAGTGGGTAGCATTTGTTAAAAGGTCATGGACAAGACATTTCAGATTTTTTCCATAAGTGTTTATTAAAGCCAACCATGGGCCAGGCCTTGCACTCAGAACTAGGATCCAATTATTAATAAAAGAAATAGCTTTCTCCTCTTGGAGTTAGTCTGGTGGATAAGACAGACATTAAGCAAAAAAATTACAGAGGATATAATTAACAGAGGGAAGGGGGCGGTCAGTGGAGAGAATGTTCCAGGTTAAAGAGACAGCATATGCAAAAGTCCCAAGATGAAAAAGAGTGTGATGCCACTGGTGTAAAGAAAGCTGGCATGGCTAGAGCAAGGAGAGACCAGAAAAGATAGGTCAAAATGAAGCTAGAGAGATAGACAGGGACCAGAACAAGAGGTCAGATGTCAACATGGCATAAAGCTCATTATTAGGCTTATTTGCAGTTGACTTAAGCAAATGGTGATTTTGTTGTTGTTCTGAAATTACATGTTTGACTCTAAAATAAGACATTCATTATACCTTATGACTACAGGACTGCCCTCTCATCCTCAGCATGAGCTGGCAAAGCGTCAGTGCACAGGTTGCCCAGGGATGATCACCTTTTATATCAAGGGCTCCCTTCAACATGCTGAGACTTTCCTCAAGAACCTAAAGGTAAACTTTCAAACTAGTTTTTTAAACTGTAGACCTTAAGACCTTCTTATAACATTATTATAGTCATTATTTCTCACTTCCACCTGACTCATATTAATGTTGTTGTACCTGGAGTTCACACCCACAAGCCTCTTTGTCATGAAATGCTTTGGGTTGGAAAATCACTTGAAACAAGAGTGTTGCAGTAGCAGATATATGAATCTGCTTACTTAACTTATTTAACTCTGCACACTGCCGTCCATTTGAGAGAGACAGAATGTTCTAATCCATTGGTTTTTAAATTTAAAGTGAACCGTCTTTTCAAATGAAGTATTATATGAAACCGCAGTAGTGTGTGGTCACTGCAATGACGAAAGACTGTTCTGAAATCCAGCCTAGGAATGGCTTTCTAAACCCTGCACCACCCAGGCTGCATCTGCCTGGAGTGACGGAAGGGAGGCCTTTGCCTAATGTTCACAGAGGCAGAAGGCTCTCAGGGGCCCTGCGAGAGAGACCTGTGTAACTCCATACTTTGGGCTTACTTTGAGCTCATGCAGTAATGTATTTAAGACTGAGTTTTAAATACTACAGATCTAAAGAAAAGGATGCCTCTGGATTAGTCAAAGTTCTATTGGTTCTAAAATTTGTCCACTTCTAAAATCAGAAATATAGTAGTGCACATTTGATTTAACACAGTTGTGAGAAGAATTTTTAACATGTTGTGAAATTCTATGACACTATAACACTAAATACAACAACCAAGTTTTTTTCCCTTCTTCCCTAGGAAGGGGTTAAATAGATGTATTAATTTAGTGAGTGATACATATTAATGAGTAAGTTTGTATAACTTGATAAACATTTAGAGATTTTTATTTAAAGGGTAACCACAGAGCTAGGTCTCAAGTGTAATAATTCTGAGGTTTTAGAGCTCATGTTATTGTGCTGGGTCTTAGTTGCAGCTCAAGGGCTCCTTAGTTGTGCCTCATTGGCTCCTTAGTTGCGGCACATGGGCTCCTTTTATTAGTTGTGGCAGGCGGGCTCCTTCCTTGCGGCTCAAGGGCTCCTTAGTTGGTCTTCGTCTGCTCCTTAGTTGCAGCATGTGGGCTCCTTAGTTGCAGCTCACCGTCTCCTTAGTTGTGGCACATGAACTCTTAGTTGTGGCATGCATGTGGGATCTAGTTCCCTGGCCAGGGATCGAACCTGGGCCCCCTGCATTGGGAGTGTGGAGTCTTAACCACTGTGCCACCAGGGAAGTACCGATCAACTTTTAATGTTTTAAAAGTTAACACATAATATGTCTAATTGGGCCTTCCCTGGTGGCGCAGTGGTTAAGAATCTGCCTGCCAATGCAGGGGACACAGGTTCGAGCCCTAGGCTGGGAAGATACCACATGCTGCGGAGCAACTAAGGCTGTGCGCCACAACTACTAAGCCTGTGCTCTAGAGCCCGCGAGCCACAACTACTGAAGCCCATGTGTCTAGAGCCCGTGCTCCACAGCAAGAGAAGCCACCACAATGAGAAGCCTGTGCACTGCAATGAAGAGTAGCCCCCACTCACTGCAGCTAGAGAAAGCCCGGGCGCAGCAACAAAGACCCAATGCAGCCAAAATAAGTAAAATAAATAAATTAATTAATTTAAAAAAAAGTCTGGTGAAATCATTGTTATGGATTTTATTCTGATTTTTTCTCCAAGTTTTTATCCAATTTGTAGTTTATTCATAATTGCACCATTTTCCATCCCCCGTCCCGAGGCCATTTTATCAACAACATTTATTTTTAGATTTTAGTATTTTTATTTTAGTAGAATATCTATATTAATATTTTCTTTGCCACAGCTATTTACACTGGCTGAGAGCTTAGGAGGATATGAAAGTCTTGCTGAGCTTCCGTAAGTATTTCTGTTTTTCTCAGTATTTTAACTTTGATTTCAGCTGTAATGATTGTTTGGAAAAGGAGTAGGATAAAATCGGGGATCATTCAAGATATTTAGCAATAAGAGCAGCATGGCACTATCTAGTTGGAATGGACTCTAACTCCATAGAATGGAGACCCTGATAAAAATCTAATGGGGGCTACTAAACAGTAAGCTGCGTCCTCCCAAATTTTGCTTTTTTCCTATTTGCCTGAAGGAGATTCCAGCAGTAATTCTCTGACCTCCGAACCAGGGCCACTTGTTCTACTCCACTCTGCTCTGGAAGGGAGGTTGGAGACTTTGTACCAGAAGGGCTGATTTTAAGACTCCAGGGGAAATTGAGAATGTGTTTCTGATAAAAAAAAAAAAACCCTCCATACTCTTATTTATCAGAGGAGAGCCCAGCTAGTTACCATCAAGTCTGTTTGTTTTCTGTTTTCTGTGGGGTAAATGGCTCTGTGTCATCTGTGACATAAACCCAAAATTCAACTGTGTTCCTGACCCTTCATTAACTGACCCAACCAATTCATCTAATTTTATCAAAGCACCAGAGGATAATAGAACACAAAACAGCCTAAGATCAGGGAGTCCAACAGCTTATATTACAGACAAGGAAACAACGGTTCAGAAAGTTTTGCTGATGAATCAAATGTCACACAGGAATATGTTAGCAACTTCACTCTTGAGGCTTTGCGTCAGAAACTGTGAGTGGAGAGTTTAAAGCAGCCTTGATCTGGATTTGAGAACATCAATCACTTAACCTTTGTGCTTCAATCTTTTCATCCATAAAATAATATTAATAATTAAAATAATGATTATTATTTAATGATTATCTGTCCCAGCAAGCATTCCTGAGCTACATCCTGTTTTTCTTTTTACGTTTCTATGACCATATATTATAATTATTACAGGGATAAATCAATATCATTACCTATTAATTTTCAACTGTATTAAATGCATGGTATGTTTCTATGTTTTAATTTTCATGAACATTTCTTTTTTTTTTTTTTTTTTTTTTTTTTTTTT